ACTTATGAAATAAATCCATAAATAAAAAGATACTCTGTGTTTTCAAGATGAATAAAATTGGCAGCTGGTCTCTCCCTTTTTGCTTTAAGGGGGACTAAAAGCGTTACTATATTAAAAGTTATTGGGTTTGGAAGGAGGCAAGAGATCAGTATGAGGATAAAACAGAATCTTGCCAGACCCAGAAAATAACAATACAGAACACATTTCAATTTGGATTGAATACAAATGAGGGATACAGTTTTAAGTATGTCTCATGCATGATTTGGAACATACATGTACTAAAAAAATTGATTGTTTATCTTAAATTCAAATTTAACTAGATGCCTTGCCTTTTTTTTTTTTGTCTGGCAAGCCAGGGGCAAACTACTCAAGAAATTGAAGCAAGTCAGAGTGAGCTGCTTTAGGAATCAAAAGTCATGCTTTGACTATAATCATAAATGGGTTGCCATTGGCTTAGGTTCTTGGGATTAGTCTGGGTTTGAAATAAAGAGCTGAAAACCAAGTAGCCCACAAAGCTGTTTTAATAATACGATCTCTTACATGGATATAACACATATGCTTTTCCAAAGTGCTTTCACAATACGTTCTCTCACTTTATCCGCCAAACCACCGAAGTTTAGCTCACGTTAGCCACAGTTTGACAGTGGAAAAACACCCAGGGCTAGAGGAAAGAAACTGCTCTGAAGTCCTCAAATGGGTTAGTGTTAAATCAAGACCTAGGATCTATTTATTTTTCCTACTTCTATCTCACTGTCATCCTTAAGTGTGGATTTTAAAAAGTTAACTTTTTAAAATTGAAGTGCCAGGCTGGGTGTGGTGACTCACACCTGTAATTTTAGCACTTTGGGAGGCCAAGGACCACTTAAAGTCAGGAATTTGAGACCAGTTTGGGAAACATGGTGAAACCCTATCTCTAAAAAGAATAAAAAAAAAAAAAAAAAGCCAGCTGTGGTGGTGAGTGCCTGTGGCCCTAGCTACTCCGGAGGCTGTGTCGGCAGGATCGCTTGAACCTGGGATCCTCCAGGCTACAGTGAGCCATGATCGCTCCACTGCACTTCAGCCTGGGTACCAAAGTGCTTAGACTATGTATGTATATACAGGCTTTCAGCAGGGGGGATGAGTAGTTGTCAATATATTATCCGTTCTAGTAAGGGAGAAAGAGGTTAATCTACTTAATATGTACCTAGACCTATGAATTTTACCCAGGTCATTCTTCTGACTCCTAGTCTGTAGGAGAAACTGAATTGAAATCCACCTTGCAGCCACAGCTCTGTGGCAGGCAGTTCTTTGCTCATGCCCACTTCACACCTGCTCTTGCTTCTCCTGTTACTGCCTTTCTTTGCCTCTTGGCTCTTGGTTTTGTCTCCCATATCTGACTCCAGAAAGATGGATTTCAGGTCTCAGGTTTCATCATGATCATCCTCTAGAAGTAACTTGACTTGCTCCCCTACTCCAGCTCTTTCAATTCCCGCCATCCCCACTGAGCTCCAGCGCCCAGCCCCCAGCCTGCTCCCATTTTTAGGAGAAATTGATGTACTGGAACTTGAATTACCTAGGTGTCAAATGTCCAAGTTTGGTAGGGCATCGGAGACTCTGAGATACTGCAGTTGACTGGGGCCAAAATTCAATGTCCCTGGGCTTTACGATCTGCTTTTACAATATATTTTCTTTTATTTTCTCGATTTTTCCTTTTACTCCATGAATTTGGGAAGTTTAGCTGTGATGTGGTTGAACTGCTGGAGATATCTGAGCTACAAATCCAGCTCTGCATCACATTGAAGACCGGGCCGATTCTCCACTATAGGGCGAAGTTCAACTCCGTAGCTTGCCATTGAAGACCTTCCTTCCCCAGGCTGGCACCTGCCCCCTTTCCACTTTTATTCCTCATGTGTCATTTGCTTACTCAAACTGGTTTCCCTGCTGTTCGTGGAGCACTCCTTATGTTATCTCTTCTGAGTCTATTCCTGTTTCTGGAATGAGCTCCTCCCTCCATGCTCTCTACATCCTAAGCCGTCTCAAGGCCAAGCTCAGATGTCACCTTTTCTATGAAACTTATCTAACACCCTTTGATCTCCTAGGCCGTTTTTGTTGCACCGTACTTTGAGGATTTATTATATGCTGGGAATACTGTTCAAAACACTGAGCACTAATTGATCTTAATGGTTGCTGGCCACAGTGGTAGCACAAGATTCCAAAGGTCCTTCTCTGTGCCAGATATTTGCCTCTAATTGCTGAATGATGTGGAGGCCTTGAAGGACTGAGCAAGGGGTCAGAGTGGCCAGAGTAGCAAGGAGTGCAGAGGTGGGAGTTCTTTGGGCCAGATTCCATTTGCCACCCAAAATAGAAGTATTTCAAGATTTTAACAGCACAGACATAACAGTGCATACCCGATAAAGTCATTTCACCACATATTGTCTTATTTTCTTTACTGGATTTATGTGTATATTTTCTATAGTCTCAGAACTAAAAATTTGTTTTAGAAATCCTTTAGGCCGAGGCTCCTTAACCTAGGGTCTGTACCATAGACTCAAAGGAAGTTGATGGCATTTACCAGATTTTCAAAGGTACGTGTAATGCAGAGAAGGTTAGGAAACCCTGATCTTGCCACCACTTCCATTTATAGATTAAGAAACTATAGCTGAGCGGGGTTAAGCATAAGAACTCTGCATGCAATACTTCTCAGGGAGATATTTGCCATCCGCAGTCCAATTCAAGTTCCCTTATTGAAGGTAAACTTAGGGTGTTCCATGACATCATATCAATGGACTGTCCTCACTTTTTCTTCTGCAGGGAGCCTGGAAGGCTTGCGTGGTTAGTCAAGACTATTGGTAGGGTTGGTGGGGATCTGGTGCAGACAGTAGCTCTTTTTAAACAGCAGGTGAAGTACTAATGTACTTAGGAATCTGTTGGGAAGAGGAGGTTAGAATCCTAGTACAAGGAATCTAAAGTTGGTTGTCAGACTAGTCAGACTAAGGAGAGGGATTGAAAACAGACATTAATAATTTATTGAGCATTAACTGTCAAATAGGCCCTTCTTTGTATTAAGCTATTTAACCTTAATGAGAATCATATGAAGTAGGAACTGCCATCCCGCACTTTACAGATAAATAACTCAAGGTCCAGAGAAGGTAAGTACTTTGCCCAAATTTGTACAACCAGGAGAATTAGGATTTAAACCAACATGGTCAGGCTCCAGCATCTTCAGGTCCAAACACTATGCCACACTGCCTCTTAAAAGTTGGTTTGTGGAGCTAGGAAAGGAAAAAGCAAGGAAAGGTGGGTTTCAGTGAGTGGGTAGTTTATGTGGGGTTGGGGTGGAGGAGGCCCTACTAAGTGCTGATGCCCTTGGACAGGCCTCATGTGGTTTGGTGCTGGGATTCTGGACTTGTGTCAAGGGCAGCCTTAGGGTGCATAGAGAGTCTTAAGAGTCTGAAAGCAACTTGCATTGTGATATTTATTTACTCATCCTTATAGACCCCCCATCTTGGTACTGAGGACAGAAGATATACTTCCCGCCTGGAAAAAGAACTTGCACTTCTTTCCAAAGGAATAGAAAACTGAGAATGTGACAGTTTCTTTTTTTTTTTTTTTTTAATTTTTTATTGGATTATAGGTTTTGGGGTACATGAGCAGAGCATGCAAGACAGTTGCGTAGGTACACACATGGCAGCGTGCTTTGCTTTTCTTCTCCCCTTCACCCACATTTGGCATTTCTCCCCAGGCTATCCCTCCCCACCTCCCCCTCCCACTGGCCCTCCCCTTTTCCCCCCAATAGACCCCACTGTTTAGTACTCCCCTTTCTGTGTCCATGTGTTCTCATTTTTCATCACCCACCTATGAGTGAGAATATGCGGTGTTTCATTTTCTGTTACAGTTTCTTTTGCTGGCTATGCTCTCTCATTTCTTAGCTGTTCTTGTCCCTTGATGCTGTTTCTTTTTTCTCCACTAGGGTCCTCTCATCCTTACTTCCCCTCTGTCAAAATTCTGTTCTTGGAAAGGGAAACGATTCAGACTGAGATATGCATAGCTAAGGGGTCGCAAAAAGATTACCTTTACTGGATATTCCTTTGTGCATGTTTTGTTTACCTCTTATCTTTTAACTCCTATCCCTCCTGACGATCCACCTAGTTAGCACCCGCATGCAGCTAAGCTCCAAGCACTCCTGCTGCATTTTCAAACCAAGCCAGGGACCCTCCCTTGGCACTGGCCTCTTGCTTTGCCTCCTCTTCCTGTGTCTGCATTTTCTTTGGGTCGGTGTGCACCAGCCTCTTCCCTAGCACTACCTGGCTGGTCTTCTTGTGTCCCCCTACCAACCCCTCACTCACCACTACAAGCCACGTCCGAATAGCCTGGCTGGGAAGAGGGGCTGCACTCACAGAAGCTATACTGTGTCGACTTGTGTTGAGATAGCTATGTGACTGGAGCCTGGGCCTGGGAAGAGCCAGGGGATGGGTGTAACCATTCCTGAGGTCCCACCAGCCTTTGAACTTTACACACCTTATCTTATTGAATTTTTCCTATAACCCTGTGTGGGTTGTATTTAGTGACCTTGTTTTTTTAGATGAGAAAATCGAAGATTGGAGACTTAGTTTGCTCAAGCTCACACAGCTAATAAATGGCAAACCTGGAACCCAACCCGTATCTGTTGGAATTTAAAGTACATTTGTAATATTTCCCCTGCCCTGATACCAATAAAGTTAGCACCCATCATCTGTTCTGGGGTAGCAAGGAAGGGCCAGAAATTTAAAAGAAATGTAAAAGGGCTAGAAGTTGAGTGGACATTGAAATGGATCAACCAGAAACAAACGAACAGGAAAAGAGCAAGGATAGAACTAGAAAGTCTGAGACAATTACGGAGAGTGAAGCTGGCATGCCTGGAACTTTTTATTTTTGGTCTTGGGTCCCATGGTTTGGAGGAGGGGTGGCCTGGCCCAGAGGCCCAGGATGGGTACCCCTCAGCTGAGCATGGGTCCTCACTCCTGTATCTGTTCTGCTTACAGTGACCACTTCACTGACTGAGCTCCAGCCCCAGGACACTGCTCCAGTCTCAGCCAGAAGCAACATGGGGTTCACCTCACCTTGGATGGGACAAAAGGAATGAAAACTAAGGCAATGAGCAGAGATGGCATCCTGCGTTTCGGGCATTAGTGAGTTTTCCATAAGCTTGAGGATGACCTCACATAAAGTTATATAAGTGATATTGGTCTGAATATTGGTCTGATATTGGTCACGAACGCTCACATCTTGGTCTTCTGACCTCCCCTATGGTCTTTCTAGGAAGATCAGTCCTTTCCCTCTCCCCACTATACTAAGCAGATGGCTTGGAGTAGCTTCTGAGGCTGGAGAGGGAGGATTCCACCTCAGCCCTGAATGGCTGACTCAGCTCAGCTCCACTCTAAGGACTCAGGCAGTGCATCATTTTCTTCTCTGCTTCTGGGCTTTAGAAAGTGTCTTGAGAAGTGCATGGCTGAGAGAGAGAGGAAACAGGTGGACACCACATGGGCTGGAGGAAGCCCAGGGTCACCAAATCATCCTGGGCCAGAAGGCAATTGTTCCTTTTGGAAGATGATGTGTTAATCATCAGATCACTGAGCTGTCAGGGGGCAGAGAAGGAAAAGTTAAAGTCAGGGCTTGTTCGATTTGCTATGAGGAACTATTTCGCAGCAGTTTGAGTCACTTTTAGTCCTTATTCTCATCAGCAATAAGTTGGTTGTTGGAAAGAGCTGAATATGGTAATTTACGCCAGGTGAACTACACTGTGCTCTGTGCTTCCAGGGTGTTTTTTGGAGTCCTGGAACTTTGTAGCTGGGAAAGACCATCTGGTCCAGTGCCTGATGATTGATTGGTTCTTGCTCATGATTATTCAATCATACTGATTCTCTGGAGAAGGGAAGTGACCTGTCCAAGGTTGTGTAGCATGTTATGGCTAGAGGGGGTCTGGTCCCAGGCAGTAGGTCCCCTTCTCCACAGGGGACCATTAAATTCTGTGCTCCTGGAAACCTCTGTCATAAATATGATCACCAAAATGAGCTGAGTGGAAGGACAAATGTAAAGAATTTCATATATCACATGTTATTTTCGTATTGATTTGTTAATTTTATTTTATTTAAAAAAATTTTAGTGGTTTTTATAAAGAGTTTTTATTTTGTTCTTTATACTTTGTGTATTTTCTTTTTTATTATACTTTAAGTTCTGGGGTACATGTGCAGATGGTACAGAATTGTTACATAGATCTACACATGCCACGGTGGTTTGCTGTATCTATCCCCCTGCCACCTACATTCGGTATTTCTCCTAATGTTATCCCTTCCCAATTCCCCCACGCCCTGCTATCCCTCCCCTAGCCCCCTTACCCCCCAGCAGGCCCCAGTGTGTGATGTACCCCTCCTTGTGTCCATGTGTCTCATTGTTCAACAGCCACTTATGAGTGAGAACATGTAGTGTTGGTTTTCTGTTCTTGTGTTTGCTGAGAATGATGGTTTCTAGCTTCATCTGTGTCCCTGCAAAGGACATGAACTCATCCTTTTTTATGGCTGCATAGTACTCCATGGCGTACAGCTTCAGCAAAATCTCAGGATACAAAATCAGTGTGTGAAAATCGCAAGCATTCCTATACACGAATAACAGACAAACAGAGAGCCAAATCATGAGCAAATTCCCATTCGCAATTGTTACAGAGAATAAAATACATAGGGATACAACTAAAACGGATGGGAACTACAAGGAGAACTACCAACCACTGCTCAAGGAAATAAGAGAGGACACAAACAGATAGAAAAACATTCCATGCTCGTGGTTAGGAAAATCAATATCATGAAAATAGCCATACTGCCCGAAGTAATTTATAGATTCAATGCTATCCCCATCAAGCTACCATTGACCTTCTTCATGGAACTGGAAAAAAACACCTTAAACTTCATATAATTTGTTAATTTTATAATTTATCTAATATATTGTCTTTAGAATCAATGAGCATTTAGATTGCTAAGCCTTCTCCCTTAGTTGCTAGGTGAAGCTTGTACTTTTCTACTTTTTTTCTTAAATTTAATATGCTATAAACATTAAGTGGCCTGGAGGTTTACATATCTGCTGGGGGAGGCAGCATGGTTTAATGGAAAAGGAAATGGATGAGGAACTAGGCAGGCTGAAGCTCAAATCTCTTCTCTACTACTGATCAGATATGTAACTTTGGGCTGGTTACTTTATTGATCAGAATTTCTGTTTTCTTATCTGTGAATAGGGCAATAGGACACCTCCCCCAACCCCAAGTGGGTCACTCCGAGGATTGAATGAGATAATACGTGCTTAGCATGGCATCTGTCACATAGCAAACCCTCAGTAAAAGTTACTGATAGAGTGTTTAAGTCTTAAACTGAGTACTTAACATTAATTTTCTTCCACTTATAGAATGTTCTGTTTTTATCATCAAACCCCTGTTAAAAAAACACAAACCAAAAAGCAATTGCCTTTTAAAATGGAATGTTCTTGTATTGGCTCACATAAGTGGAAATGCACATCTGTATTTTAAATTAGATCACCTGGTGTTTCTAGCATCTCTGGGGCATATGAAAGACTTGTTTACATTAGTTTTGTTGAGTTTTTTATATGCTCATTAATTTTCACAGCATTCTTATGAGACAGGAATTAGACATACTATTCATGAATTAATGAAAGTATAGAGACGTTTCAGTACTTGTCCAACATCACGGAGAAAAATGAGTGATGGCCAGGAATAGTATTGACGTTTCCAGGATGGAAAGTTCGTATTGACTCACTATCCACTGATGACGTGCTCGGTGTTTATGTGTGTCTTTTCTCCTGAAGCAGGGTTTTGCATCTCTTAGGTCCTGTGTAGTGGCCCAAAGGTCATGCAGGGTGCACACAAAGCTTCTATCAGATGCTGTTCGCTCCTCCCTGTGCCAGTTTCTACTGGGCGAGCAGGGAGGGGCAATTAGAGCAGTGCTGATGAGAGGAAAGTGGAGTCCTTAAATGTCCATCAAGTTCTATTCCACAACTAAAGGCACCTCAGGCATTCTTGTGAATATTTAGTAGTGATGGTGAATATTTTTGGGGACCAGCAGTGGCATTCCCAGTACCTGTAAAATCACCCTGTGAGGTGGGAACCTTTCTGGTTCTCCGTGAGGGGTTCTGGTGGAAATTACGGTGTGAGATTCTGGGCTGATTGCCTTGCTCTTAGCGTGGCGCAAGCCCCCCTTTGGCGGAAGAACTCTGCTCCTCAAAGGCAGCCCTGGGATTGACTCTGGAATGAACAGATGGCCCACGTCTGGTCTCCCTGTTAACTCAGGCCATCTCAAGTCTTGGGATGACTCGCAGACTCTTCCTCTTTCATGTTTTTGGACAAGCTTTTCAGTCTTTTCTTGGCTTACCTGCTCAACTCTGCTTTGGTCACTGTAACTGTGTTTTGATATTTTAAAAAATATTTTATTTTTTTATTATTTATATTTAGAAGTTATAAGTACTTTGTTTTCTTTACTTTTTTTTGGTTGTTGTTGAATTTCCATAGGTCTGGGGAGAACAGGTGATAACCTGGTAACATGAGTAAGTTCCTTAGTGGTGATCTGTGAGATTCTGGTGCACCCTTCACCTGAGCAGAATACACTGAACCCAGTTTGTAGTCTTTGATCCCTCACCCCCTTCCCACACTTTCCCCCTGAGTCCCCAGAATCTATTGTATCAATCTTATGCCTTTGGATAGGAATCCTCATAGCTTAGCTCCCACTTATGAGTGAGAACTTACGATGTTTGGTTTCCCATTCCTAAGAGTTACTTCACTTAAGATAACAGTCTCCAGTGTCATCCAGTTTGCTGCGAATGTCGTTAATTTATCCCTTTTTATGACTGCGTAGTATTCCATCACACATATGCATACCACTAACTGCATTTTTTCTGGCAGCCTAACCTTGCATCTCCTCTGATTTTTGGCTTCAAACACTTGCCTTGGTGTTAACCACTTAGTTTTGTCTCTCCTTGCTGTCATGTAAGAAGACAGACGGTGGCACAGGTGGCTGGCTCAGAGAAGGTTTCCTGTAGAAGGTAGGAATTGAGCTGGGCCTTGAAGTTTGGGAAACATCGTAACACGTGGGGGGAATTGGAGAGGCGGCCTCAAGCAGCAGGTGCAAGAGCAAGGCAGGACTTTGTGGAGTCATAGAAAAACCAGGGCTCAAGAGTTCAAAGTGTGAGTCATCTCTGGTGCTTACAGGAGTCAGAGCTTACAAGAACCTGACCTTGGGCAGGTTCCTTACCTCTCTGGAGCTTGGCTTTCTTACCTGTAAAATGGGGAAAATACAACTTACTTCTCAGACATTGGGACTATTAAATAGTACATGTAAAAACAGCTAGCATGGTGCCCATGGTAAGTACTCAATAAATGTTGATTGTTTTTATGTCATTGCATGCTGCCCACATGCTGGTCTACTTAAGCAGGTGAGAGAAAGAGTTAGAGAGCGCAGCAAGCTCCTGTCACTGCTCTAGCCTCTTGCCTGGGTAATTGCTCAATGCTTAGTAAAGGAAAAGCTTCCTAAACCTATGTGCCTGTCTCTCTAGGGCCAGTCCTTGAGTGTCTTGATTCTTTGAGCTTGCACATGGGGCTAATGCTGAGTTATCTTGCCCTTTTTAAAACTCAGCCTAGGGATATAAAGAGATGTCAATTCCTCCCCCTCCCAAGTGCTTGTGTCTCTCATCCTCCCTCCCTGGGGTGGTGTATTCCAGCTGTTGGAGGCTTTGTGCATTTAACAAAAGGAATTGTTATAGAAACCCCTGTTTTATGTTGAGTTCAGGGAGACCCTGATGTTGGGAGCAGCCTGAACTCATTTGCTCTTGTTAACCAGGTTTGCGTGTGTGAACATATCTTGTCCCAGCTTAGGCTCCTCCTTCAGCAAGACCTGTTTGATGTTGCCTCTAACTATGACTCTTTCTGTATTTATTGATTATCTTCTCTGCTTCTGGGTTCTGATCTTTGCTCCAGGATTTCTGTCTCTGGACTTGAACCTCTGCTAACAGAATGTAGTCATTGTCTGTGGTCTTTAATTTCTAACTTCTTTTCTTACATTTGATCAAGAGGTCTCACCGGGTTCCATCTTTCCTCACCAGTAATTAAAAATACTACTGATCACTGCCCAGGCATTAACACTAGGGTCTCTGGACTAGATGTCCAGAAATCTTTATTTCTATTTTTAGTTGAATCCCTGGACCCAGATCTTTTATATAGATTTGACTCCCTATATCCATTCAACCTTCCAGAAATGCCTTGCTAGAACTCATTCTAGACTGCAAACTCTTAAACTCCAGCAGAGATTCTGATCCAGAAGGTTGGTTAGGAAGGAACGGGAGCCTAGAACCTGCCTAGAATCCCACGTGTTTCTGATACAGGTGGATTATGGATCACACACTGTGAGCAACACTGATCAATACTGAAGTTTCTGGAAGTCTGACTTTCATATAAAGGGAAATATTGTCATATTGGCCAGAGATTTAAAGTAGCAAAGTTTAAGACCAGGTAAAAATAACTTAAGAAATCAGATCTTCTTTGCAGGTGGCAAACAATTTAATTTCCTAAGTAAGCTAAATGTTCTCTCCCCAAGTTTGTCTCCTCTAAATATTTTCTTGATTAGCTGTTTCTGTAGAGGAAACCCAGAGGTGAACATCAGGCCATGTTTTGTTCAAATTATTTTAAATTATGAATTTGTTCAAGTCTGTGTTTATGATTTGTGCCTGGGCTTACAGAGTATAAAGTGTATTCTCATTAGGTCCCATTGTCACTTTCCCCTTCCAACCCTTACCCTTAATCTGCGCCATACTCCAGCCGGCTCTCACTAACTGTTGGTTGCCATTCTGTTAAGTACTTCATGGGCAATCTTTCTGGGAGCTGTATTTTTAGAGGAAGAGATGAAAGAAGACTGAAAAATTAAAATCAATATAAGCGGTCTCTCACTTGGAATGTTATTAAGAGGATGTGGTCATTTAAAAGTATTTTCCCTTATCTTCAGTGTTTGACATCTGAAGTCATAGAATATGTTATCACACCTTGCTTTATTAACATGGCTAGAGTCGCCTGTTTCAAAAGGCCCAGGAGTATTAACCTTAAGTGAAAAGAAAGTGGTGCTTTTGGCAGCAGGAGATGCTGGCTCCCAGCCAGGCCCCTGCGGCTATTCTGTTAAATGGCCCCATGAA